CCCAAGAATGCGGCAGGTATTCCTTGACCAGCTGAAACCGTTCCTTTGTGTCCTTCGGCTTGTAAACTGAAATCGATCGGAAGGCGTATAATGTGCCTAATGTAGGAGAAATGAAAAGTGGCGGCGGAGCATCGGCCAACTCGGCCCTCAAGAGTTTAGGGACAAAGATGTCGGGTATTAGGGATCAGCGTGCTGAAAGCTGACGCAATAATTGGTGAATGGCATTGTTGTCCAATTACCATAAAGTTAATTTCATTAGAAAAAGAACAATAACGATGTATAGTGTAATAAATTGGCTTCTTTTGTTTTAATTACAAATATATGAAATGAAAATCCTATCCTATATTCTATAGGAAATTTGTTGTTGCGAAATAATGTTCGAATTTCTTAAAACGGAAATATGTTAATTAAAATTCTTTTCGTTGATTAATTAAGATATTGTTTCACTTGATACACGCATTAAGTAATTTGTCTTACGATATAATGAGTATTTAAAATTAATTGTCTGTAATTTATTCGTTTTATTAGTTACAAATTGTTCACATTCTTGTTACGAAACTTTTCTTTTAAACTTTTTTATTATCCACCGATTGATTAGGATAAATAGTAGTAAAAACATTTCTTACTAATATGAAGAGTTTGAAAATCAATGAACATCCATCATCGAAGATAAAAATTATAATTTGTTTTTTTATCGTTTGAATACACACATCGCGATACCTCACAGCGCCAAGATGGCTGCCAGTGTCAATCCATGATAAATCGATGGAGACGCCGACACTTTCCAAACATATGTAACGCCTTGTCGTAGCATATCTTTAGATGTTAAGATGGAGGACTTGTTGCAAGCGAAGAAACAAAACTGCTATTCCAAACCATATATCTACAATTTGAAAATGTTGATAATAAAATAACGACAAAATTAAATACTTATTTTAACAAGTTTGTACATAGGATACTTTATAAAAATATATTTCAGAACTAGCTCTTGTTAAAAGAACATATTAAATTAATTTTTATTGAAACAAACTACAAAAAATGTATAAAAAGTATTTAACAAAAGAAGAAACACATAAATTATTATCAAAACTGTTTCTACTTAAATCAGGTAATAGATTTTTAATACACTTTCAGAAATTATAAAAATTTCGAACATATGAAAGAAAAGCACTTTATCACATACTATCCAATAAATTGAAGTCTTTTTTTAAAAAATAATATTCAAATAATGTTAACAACAAATTTTAATTGGAAACATTAAATTCAAGAAAAAGACGTGGAACGTTGTTCGGTAATAATGGCAACGCGGACAGCAATCAGTAACTCGTAAAAACGGTGCCATCATCCTGGTCAGTCGCGAAGTAATTAAATTCGACTGTGGTTATGTAAAATTTCATTTCATCGTAAGTCGTAATCAGAGCTGCAGCTCAGCCTCTCCTATAGATATTGAATGATTGCCGTCTTTACGTAAGCGCGCATGAAATTACAATGACAGTATTTCATCTCCGCGGTGGCCAACCGTCACAAGTAATGATAATTATCTCTCTTAATAATTTAATAGCATCGCTGGATTAATCGCGGGTTTTAAAGCCGGTTTCGAGCGGTCCGCGGTCGCGAAAACACGTAAAAAACCGTTGAGTGTTTTCTATCCGGCCTTATTGCGGCCACGATAAAACGGCGGAACGCGGATCGTGTTTCAATGTGCCGATTTCCAATCGAGACAATATATCGATCGGCACCTGCGATCGATTGCGAAATGAGCATTGACGAGAAAATTATTATCTACCTTTTTGTTGCGTTAAACGAAGCATACTGTAACTTCGATTGCTATTTCCGAGACATATTATTTTCTCTTACCGACAATACGATTAATTAATAATCAGTGATTATATTTCAAATATATATGAACATAATGTAAAAACTTCGTAGAACGAAACGCAATAAAATTAACAAAAGACACATCGAAAAATCAAAGTACTTAATTTCAAACTAAGAGAGCTGCACATTTTCAGTTTTATTTATTATATCTCGAAGCTCGGTCGTTGAATACTTTCTAGCTCCATTAATTTCCAGGACATTTGGCGAAACACGTTTCTCGCTCCAACTTCGGAGACTGTCTTCCTGCGTGCGGTTTGAATGATAGCCAATAAAAAAATGCACGACCAATATTTTTAAAGAAATATGTTTTTGCAGTACAAATATGTTTGCACTTTCCAGCAAAGTTTTCATAAAAATCGTTGGACATCACCTCGGTATACCGGGTTGCATGCTCACGAAGAGGACACATGAAATGGAGGATGCAGCCATCGGTATTGTGCAACGCGAAAAATACAATATCAGTTTATACGCCATCAAAAATGCCGCCGACCGTTAATACGCGCGTGGTTACTGCGTTACACGTGTAAACACGAAGGGGGTGCACTCGACCGGGCCGTAATTTACCGTACGATTTTCAAGAAGCTGTCTAAATTTATCATACGCAAAAACATTGGGCCGTGCATCAAATTTCATTGCACCGGCGCGGAGGTTTTACAAGGTGTGACGGGCTTCCAGCACGTGTCGACACGACGCCGCGGCGGCCCTCACACGCATATCTCGCGCTGCATTCTTCTCCCCATGCAACCCCATACGCGATTTATTCGCTCTTTAATTCTGCAACTTGTTACCACTACTTTTATTATTGAACGATACTGTAATTTCTGTGTTTTTGACCGGTTCCGTTGAATGTGAAATGGAAAATAATTGTGTGAAGTTGAAGAAGAACATAATGTTGATGATTAAAGGGTGACACGATGCCATTGAGCCAAATGTTTCTACTTTCACGTTTGCAATTACTAAAATCTGTAACTTCGTGACTTTTACAAATTTTTCTAAAGGTTGTACAGATCTGCGAAGGGCAGTGCACTGGGAGTTTCACAGAACTGCATTTTTTTAATATTATTTTTTAATTCTTACATTGACAGTGAAATAATCTAAATAAATTTCAATGTACTTTATTTATACATAATGAATTGAAATGAGACTTTGAACATGTGTTTTGTATAATTTTGAATATTTTGCTTTTGCAATAGCTAATGCAAACGCGAGTAACCAGCCAACAAGGTTTGGGCATGAAAGCACGAGTGTGTTCCAATAACACATTCCAGTACAGAAAAATTGTCGCAACAATTTTGAAGAATGGGGTGGTCGTTCACTCTTATCTAGGCCGGAATCTACCGATGAAGTGCGAACGATCGAAACCGAACGACGAAACCAAATCTCGATCGAGGTGGTCCCTTTTTTCTGGATCCCTCGAGGCCAACGCGATCACCTCGCTTCAGTGAGCCTTGTTGCGTGCCGGCGGTCGCTCTCTTTTCCTACTGGCATTCGGCTTGTCTCTTATTTTACGAAAAAAAGGGCCTCGTCTTTGTGCGCATTGTTGGCCCGACAACATGGAAAGCTACTTTATGTCACATCCACGCCACTACCCCCTTTTTTCGTAGCTAAACGAATAGGTACGTGCCGAGAGTAATGCGAGCTTCGAACAACGATGATAAAGTCGCTATTTCTTTTCTTTCTTTTTCAAGCCTAGGGGATATGCAAGTTCGTACGCAGGGGTTGCTTTCGATTACCTGAATGCAAATGAATGAGCTGTCGACAAATGCTAATGCTACCGGCGGTTCTTAAAATACAGAATATTTTGATCCTCTGGGGTGCGTATCGTTGTTTGTTGAAGAGTTATATTTGAGTATTTTTAAACAGCTTTTTCAATGTGAGATGAATAATGGAAATTTCATAGTAGAGATTGGAGGTATTAAGGATAATTATCCTTTTAATAATTATTCAGTAGTGTAATTTTTTATTTATTTGCTTATTTTTTATGTTACTTAACTATTTGTGTTACTAAAACTTTTGGCGACTTACGTTTAGTACATTTTCCATATTGAAAGTTTTGATTGTTCACAAAACTTAAATTGTCTAGCAAGTTTGAACGATTACTTTAACTTCAAAAGAAACGATTTTTTTTCTGCAAAATTTAAATTCTACCTACAGTTTCAAGCACATAAAAATTGTCCTTCTATTAAAGTGCGTAAAAATGTATTCTATTAATATGTTATATTAATATAGAATACAGTTTTATTCTATTAACTAAAACTTCTGTACACGATTTTAAATGCTGGTACAACATGAATGACTTCGACCATACAAACCGTTCCTGTCTGAGTAAAATCCTGTGTAGGATGTTTCTACAGATACTAACCAACGCTTTTCTCATAAATAATAAATGAACGATACAAAAACGAAAGAGCAAGAAGTTTCCATACTCTTTATAATCAAAACAATAACCTTAACAAATTCTGTGCGTTTGCATTATTTTTGAAAAAACGGAGTAATTTCATTGTATAATTCAATTGCCTGTTTAATATGACTTCCATACGTAGAATGCATTTCCCAATTCTACGAATTAATTTTATCACACTTGATTTTGGCGGAACCAATTTCCTTATAAAAATTACACCCCTTTCTATTGAGGTAAATCACAAATTTGTTCCACTTTTCACGATGATATGATCTTACATTTTAATCATTTTATACAATACCATAAAGGTACCAAGCAAATGACAGCAATTCACCAGAAAAAAATAGTTAAATACTTTATACGAACTGCACCACAGTGTGCAACACATAATTAGGAAAACACAGCATCAGCATTAACTACAAAAACATCTCGTTTAACCCAATATTACCTATAATCACCACTTTCAAACCTCATACTACCTAGTAAATCACTTTCTTACAATTCTCGCGAGCAGCGTTCGATACAATATTACAAACATAATGAACTTATACGCGCTATTATGTTAACCATTTAAAAAAAACAATGAAGCTCATTCGGCTTTCGTCTAGTCCTGTAATTATCCCATGTATTAACGATATACGACAAAATTACTCGCTACACCTAACAACTGCTGGAGCTCCCAGTATACAATCCTACAGTAGTGCTTTCAAAGATCCCTTACCTTGTCTGCCGTGGTCCCTGGATCTGCCCAAGAATGAGAAGGGCTATCGCGGTTGCCGCGATGTCACCACGACGCATCTCTTACATCACAATCCCCTTGTTTCATAGAATTCCAGAAAAACGGATGTGCACGCGACGAGTTTTCACGGTTCCGCGGTCAACCCGACCGGACACGCGCAGGCCCCGGTTGTCCGTCGTCGTTTCAGTGGCACGGCACAGGTTTCACGGTCCCCTGGCAGGTCGTCGAACGATGCCCCGCACCAATTTCTCTCATCGATCTCCGCGACGAGCCTTTCTGATCCTCCGCGAACCCCGATAATCCCGTTTTCATCGATCGACGACTGACGATAAAAGACAGAGAAAAAAAAATAAATCGCACCGACGATTTTACCGGTGCACACAACAACACTGCTCCCCCTTTCCTTCACCGCCCCTCTTCATCCATAAATCTGCGCGGCAATTGTTTCCTCCGCGAGCAGCACCCTCTCCGTTGTTCCCTCTCGATCGTTTAAACGTCAATCAACCGGTCGCTCCGGGCGATTCTCGCTCTCGGTGCGCGCGAGATCGTCTTAGAAGCAACGTGAATCACTCACGGGCCCGCAATTCCGCCGCGGGTCCCTTCTTCCACGCGATATAGAGGCCGGGCCTCGTTAGAGCCGCGGCGGTTCTCGCCAAGACAAAGCCGCGTAGTGCGCTCCTCGCACGCGAAACAGCGGGACCGAACGGACAACATTTAGAAAAACCGAGTCAAGTGGTGTGTCCAGCCTCCGCCGCTCGACTGGGCCCGTTCGGAGTGTTTGTGATCGCCAAATACTCAAGCGGCTTGCCCTTTAAGCGGGATCCTTTAGCTCGACGCGTCTATAGAATCATCCAGAGTCCTATCTCTTCGCGTGCTGAAATCCTCTAATTCCGATCTACCAACAGTAGACTCCCACTGGATGATGATCCTTTCGTGAGCTTAGCTTTCCATAGGCTATCTTTGCCATAAATTGGCATCGACTGGCCACCGAACGGTTCACTCCTTCAGTGGGAAGCTTATTTCCAGGAACATCAGCAGATAAGATCCTCTATCCGGAAGATGGGGGTCTATATCTCCAGTCGAAGGTGTCCTAACGAACGCGACGGGACACGTCGATCGGGCGTGCAGAGAGTCTCCCCGGTTCGGCTGGGCGTTGTTATCGAACGAACACTAATTAAAACGACACACACAGCTAAGCACCCGGCGATTATCGGTCGGTTTTATAGACGGGCTTCCTGGACGATCGTAGATAGCCAGCCGCTCACGCGACGTATTATTACCGCGAAGGGATCGCATTCAGAGCGCACGCGAGAGGATGTCGTCTTCTTGTTGTCCCGTCGCTAACGATTCCTTGGCGAGGATTTATCGGCCGACTCGTCATCACGATACACACCAGCGGTTTGGACGCCGCGTTAGAATCCCGTCGATCGCCGCGTCAAGATCGCCGGATCCGGCGTGATCGATCGGCGCCGCACGAAGTCACGAGAGGCGAAACTCGGTTCCCGTCCACGCGTTCCAGGTCTTCCTCTTTTCCCGTTCCGCCGGCAAGGATTCCTCTCCTTCTGGCTAGCTTAACGAAGAGGAATTCCTTTTCGTCGGGTGTTGTTAGCCCCCTTTTAACCTCCCTCCCTCCTCCCGCTCGCCCGACCTCCGCCCCTCGACAAGTGCTACCGGTTCTTATTGTCCCGACGCTCTCCGGCTTATTGTTCCCTTTTGTCAAGTTTTTTCGAATATGTAGCTGGTCCGCGTCGCCTCGCGTCTCGCGTTTTCAAGCGCGACCGGAACACACGGCTTTATCCCGGTTAAGAAGAATTTGTATGCGGTTCCCGATGAACGGTTACACACAGCTGGCCGGCGCGGCGTAGCGTGGCGTGGCGCGGTGGTACAGGGCCCCGTGAATGGCAGAAAAAGCGTTTAAAAGGCTTTATTCGGCTCGCACAAGAGGTTTGCGATTCCGTTCAGGGACGATCGACGACTAACGTCCGACGCCGATGGACCTTGGGCTGGAGCGTGGCTGCTTTCAAGGCGACGCGTGTCATCCGATCCCAACACCGGTCGACCGCTCCCCGGATTGTTATCGATGTTGTAATTAAAATTTCATGATCGATTTCTCCGCTCCGGTGCGCCGCTGTTCGTTCGAGGCGACGGATAGGTGTAAACAGGGTTGTCAATGTTCTCCGGTCCTCGGCCCGTCGTCTTTTTCGTCTCTTCTGCCCCGATGTTACCGCACACTTGACGCGTCGTTAGTCATCACCCGTTACGGCGCGCCATCGCGCCGCGCGCGCTATCGCGGGAAGATCTCGACACCGGTGTTGCTGTCTCTCGCGTGTCTTCTTGTGTCGTTCTTGCCTTTGATTATATTCTTCTCGAAATACTCAGCTTTCCTTCAAGTTTCTTCTTCTACTTCTTCTTCTTCTTCTTCTTCTTCTTCTTCTTCTTCTTCTTCTTCTTCTTCTTCTCCTTCTTCTTCGTCTTCTTCGTCTTCTTCTTCTTCTTCTTCTTCTCTTTCTTCTTCTCCTTCTTCTTCTTCTTCTTCTTCTTCTTCTTCCTCTTCCTCTTCTTCTGCTTTTTCTTCTTCTTCTTCTTCGTCTTCTTCTCCTTCTTCTTGGTACGTTGAAAATGTCCAATCTTTCGGATAATCCGTTGATTGTCAACTAAGGGTGGATTACGTGGCCGATGCTCGTGATCGCAAACACAATGCTCCCCGGAGGAGCGCTCCGTAACTGGAGCAGAGGGTAACTGTGCAAGGTGTGTGACCCGGTGTTCAAGGTAACGCGTCGACCACCACCGTGTCCAGCGACACACGACCACCACGCAGTCTGTGACAACCACCACCACCACCGCCACCGGTCACCATCACCACCACCACCAACCACCAACCACCACCACCACCTACCCACCGCCGCCTAATAGCAGCGGTAGCACCGGGGTACCAGGACACAGTCACCGGTAATGGTAGGAGAGCACTGCTCGCATCTCTACGGGGTTAGGCCGGCATTATGGGGAGAGGCGGAACGGGGAACACTCGGCGCCCGTGCACATGGGAATTTGAACGAGCGGGCAGAAAGTAAAGCGCGTTCGGTCGAGAGGAGGGCCCGCGATGGACTGGCCTCGCCAACCCAAGTCCTCCTACCTTTGG